ACCCCCCCGCATGCCCTCACCTCCCTACTGTCTGTGTCCATTGGTTATGCTTATATGCATGCATACAAGTCCTTTGGTTGATCTCTTACCCCCCACCCCGCCCCGCCTTCCCTCTTAGGTTGGACAGTCTGTTTGATGCTTCTCTGTCTCTAAATCTATTTTTGTTCATCATTTATGTTGTTCATTATGTTCCATAAATGAGTGAGATCATGTGATATTTATCTTTCTCCAACTGGTTTATTTTGCTTAGCATAATGCTCTCCAGTTCCATCCATGCTGTTGCAAATGGTAAGGGTTCTTTCTTTTTTACAGCAGCGTAGTATTCCATGTTGTAGATGTACCACAGTTTTCTAATCCACTTATCTGCTGATGGACATTTAGGCTGTTTCCAAATTTTGTAAAATGTGCTGCTATGAACACAGGGGTGCATATGTCCTTTCTGATTGGTGGTTCTGATTTTTGGGGGTATATTCCTAGAAGCGGGTTTACTGGGTCAAATGGGAGTTCCATTTTTTAAAAAATTTAAATTCTTTGTTGTTTAAAGTATTACATAAGTCTTCTTTTTCCCCCATTGACCTGTCCCTGACCACACCCACCCCCCAGCACATGCCCTTACCCCCCCATCTGTGTCCATGAAATTATTAATTCAATTTGTTTTGTAATAGTTTTATTTTTCAGCTATTGGAATTAATACATAAAATATTATTTTTTATGTTAAGGAAGAAAGACTTTTGCTTTGAAAGATATTCGTTCCTACCCTGGTTCCTTGGGCTCAAACCCTATGTCTGCACTATTCTTGGACAGTAGACAAGGTGAAAAATCTAAGGTTGATTCTCTGCTCACTGTCTTGATTTGAAATATTCAGAATATAGACTTACTCAAAGATTAGAAGCTCATTTAATACATTGTGCCAGCCATCCTGAAAGCCATTTCAATAGACTCTGTACCCCGGCATTTGTTTTAGAAATAATTGCATGCAAATGTAGTTAAACATCTGAACTATGTCTCTTAATCCTAACCAGGCATTTTCCATTAGACGTAGTCTGAAAATTACATTAAGAAAAATATATCATCTGTGAAATTATATTCTGAATGCCCCAAATAGCAAAGAAAGGAGCAGTATCCACTCAAATCTAGTAAGGAACATTCCTTTTTTCCTGAACCCCAAATTTTTAAATGTTTATTTTATTTTTCTTAGTACTGCATTATAAAATTGAACTGTTTCCCAAATTTTTGGTCTTCTTCTACAAATTTTCCAATTTAGCTTACCACAAAACTTTCTTGAAGATGAAAATATACTGTTATTATCACATTAAATTATTTTCTTATTTTTTGCTTGATAAACAAAATTTATTTTTGTATCTTTATGGCAATACAATTCAGATAAGTTAAATTTCAGTACACTGTATTCCTATAAGTGGAATTTGGAAACTGAACTGACTTTAAATATGCTATAATTTACTGGCATACCTAAAGAACTAGGGAAAGAGTACTAAGGAATAAAACATATGCAAATTCCTAGGAAAGCAATTGATTGGTAAGTAGAGGAGGGCAAGTTTCTGGAAACAAAAAGTTATTTCTTGCCATCATAAAGATGTAAAAGAATATCTTGTGCCATTCTGCATTTGCCACGCAGTGGGCTTTCTTGTTGTTTTGTTGATGGTTTCTTTTGCTGTGCAGCAGCTTATTTTGACGAAGTCTTATTTGTTTATTTTCTCTTTAGTTTCCATTGCCCTAGGAGCTGTATCGATAAAGATGTTGCTATGACAAATGTCTGCTATTTTGATGCCTATGAATTCTTCTAAGATTTTTATGGCTTCCAGTCTTATATTTAAGTCCTTTATCCACTTTGAGTTTATTTTTGTGTATGGTGTAAGTTGGTGGTCTAGTTTCATTTTTTTTTTTTGCATGTATCTATGCATTTTCCCAACACCATTTATTAAAGAGACTGTCTTGTCTCTATTGTATGCTCTTGCCTTTTTTATCAAGTATTAATTGAGCATACTGGCTTAGGTCAATTCCTGGGTTCTCTTTTCTGTTCCATTGGTCTATATGTCTGTTCTTGTGCCAGTACCAGGCAGTTTTGAGAACAGTGGCATTGTAATATAACTTGATATCTGGTATTGTGATCCCTCCAACTTTGTTCTTCCTTCTCAAGAGTGCTATGGCTATTCGGGGTCTTTTGTTATTCCATATGAATTTTTGGAAAGTTTGTTCTAGGTCTGTGAAATATGCCATTGGTATTTTAATGGGGATTACATTAAATATGTAGATTGCTTTGGGTAGTATGGACATTTTAATGCTGTTGATTCTACCAACCCATGAACACAGTAGATTCTTCCATTTGTTTATGTCTTCCTCTAGCTCTTTTTTCAATGACCTATAGTTTTCCAAGTACAAGTCTTTTACCTCCTTAGTTAAGGTTATTCCTAGGTATCTTAATTTTTTTGGTGCAATGGTAAATGTGATTGCTTTTTTTTGTTTGTTTCTCGTTCTGTGAGTTCATTATTGGTATATAAAAAAGCCATAGATTTCTGGGTGTTACTTTTGTATCCTGCTACATTGCCAAATTCATTTATTAAATCTAGTAGTTTCTTGATGGAGTCTTTACTCTGTACAATATCATGTCACCTGCGAATAATGACAGTTTTACTTCTTTTCCAATTTGGATGGATGCTTTTTATTTCTTCTTCTTGTCTAATTGCTATGGCTAGCACTTCCAGTACTATGTTGAACAGAAGTGGCGAGAGTAGCATCCCTGTCTTGTTCCTGTTCTTAGGGGAAATGGTTTTAGTTTTTGCCTATTGAGTATGATGTTGGCTGTAGGTTTGTCATATAGGGCTTTTATTACGTTGAGGTATGATCCCTCTATTCCCACTTTGCTGAGAGTTTTTGTCAAGAAAGGATGTTGGATTTGTCAGATGCTTTTTCTGCATCAATTTATATGATTATGTGATTTTTGTCTCTCAATTTGTTTATGTGATGTATCACATTTATTGATTTACAGATATTGTACCATCTTTGCAGCCCACTTGGTCATGGTGTATGATCTTTCTAATATAATGCTGGATCCGATTTGCTAGGATTTTGTTGAGGATTATTTAGTATCTATGTTCATCAGAGATATTGGCCTGTAATTCTCTTTCTTTGTAGTGTCTTTATCTGGTTTTGGGATTAGGATAATGCTGGTTTCATAGAAAGAACTTGGAAGTGTTCCTTCCTCTCAAATTTTTTGAAATAGTCTGAGGAGGATAGGTTTTAGTTCCTCTTAGAATGTTTGATAAAACTCCCCTGTGAAGCTGTCTGGCCCAGGGCTTTTGTTTGCTGGAAGTCTTTTGATGATTGCTTCAATTTCATCTTTAGTTATCAGCCTATTTAGATTTTTTTATTCTTCTTGATTGATTTTGGAAGGTCGTATTTTTCTAGGAATATGTCCATTTCTTCTAGGTTGACCCGTTTGTTGGAATAGAGTTATTCATAGTATTTTTTTTTTTTTTTACAATTCTTTCTAT